CCTCCCGGGTTCACGCCATTCTCCTGCCTCAGCCTCCTGAGTAGCTGGGACTACAGGCACCCGCCATCACACCTGGCTTATTTTTTGTTGTATTTTTAGTAGAGACGGGGTTTCACCGTGTTAGCCAGGATGGTCTTGATCTCCTGACCTCGTAATCCTCCTGCCTCGGCCTCTCAAAAGTCCTGGGATTACAGGCGTGAACCACCGCGCCCGGCCCAAAACAAAAATTTTAAATGAGGTGGGAGGATCACTTGAGTCTGGGTAGTTGGGGCTTTGTTGAGTCTTGGTCGTGCCACCACCTGCTGCTGTCACGGGAGCCTGAGGGTGTCACTTTGCTAGCCAGAAACCTCTGTGACCGCAGCGCTTCTGCCTGGGTTTTGCTCACACCTGCTGGGCTTGTACTGTCCACTCAGCCAGCAGACTGCACTCGGCTCACACTCCTAGTCCAGATCCCACACCTGCAAATGGCGAGCCAGGTAGACAACAGTGAGCGGTGTGTGGGAGAGCAAGTGTGGGGTCCGGCCGCTGCGCACAGCCAGGCTTTAGGCCATCCCTGGCTTGAAGGTGGGGCTTCACTGGGGCCCTGCTCCTTTCTGTCCAAGAGCCTTTGTGCCTCCCGCTGCCATTAATCATGTTGTCCATGGTGTCCAGGCTGTTTGTGCTGAGGGATGCCTGCAGGCTCAGGCTGAACTGCCCTGAGGTCCCCCTCACCTTTCTCCCCATGCTCGTCAGGACCTGAAGTCTAGAGGGGGATCGAGACGGCGGGGGCTGGCTTGTCAGCATTGCCTTGAGTGCATGTACACCTGGCCAGGTCATGGCAGTGCCTGGGCTTGGCCTCAACTTTGCTCTGAAATTGGAGTGGGCAGTGGGAATTAGAGCGGGCAGTGGGAGTCGGAGCGGGCGATGGGAGTGGGAGCGGGCGGTGGGAGTCGGAGCAGGTGGTGGGAATTGGAGTGGGCGGTGGAAGTGGGGAGAGGCCAGACAGTGGGAGCAGGCACTGCTGAGCCTGCAGGGGTTGTGGGTGCTTCCTCGGCCCTGAGAGCACAGGGATGCCCAGGGCCATGGCTGTGGCTGGGTTGGGCCCCTGCCGCATCAACTCAGGAGAGGGGAGGCTCCTGCCTGTTCCTGTTTCCCGTGGGATCTGTGGAGCACGCAGCCCTGGCCACGCCTTGTCTGCTGCAGCTGGTGCCTTTGCAGTGGCTGCTCCAGGTGGGCTGTGCCTGCCCTCACTGCCTGGGTCACCGGAGTGAGACCCTGACCCCCCCCAAAAAAAGAGAAAAAGTGGAAAATAGGCAAATGTTTTTATAAGTTTGGAATAGGGAACACCTTTGTAAGTTCATAGTCTCTTTGTGGAAATGTAAGTTGACGTAGTCTCTATAGAAAAGTTTGACAGTATTTACCAAAATCTGAAGTGAATTATACCCATTTACCCAGAAGTTCTAGTAATTTACCAATAGCTAAACCCTCCAAAGAGTGTGCACACATAAATGCAAGAATGTTCACTGCAGCACTGTCTGAAAAAGATAAAAATTGGGAACAGGCTGGGCGCAGTGGCTCACACCTATCATCTTAGCACTTTGGAAACTGAGGCAGGAGGCTCCCTTAAGTCCAAAAGTTTGAGACCAGCCTGGGCAACACAAGGTGACCTCATCTCTACTGAAAAGAAAAAAAAGTGAGCCAGGTATGCTGGTGTGGGAATAATATGGTCCCACAGGTGAGATCTGTGGTCCCAGCTACTCAGGAGGCTGAGGTAGGAGGATCACTTGGGCCTGGGAGGTCAAGACTGTAGTTTGCTATGATCACATCTACGAATAGCCACTGCACTCCTTCCTGGGCTACAGAGTGAGACCCTGTCTGTAAAAATGGAAGAAAAGGGCTGGCACAGTGGTTCATGGCTGCTGTAATCCCAGCGCCTTGGGAGGGTGAGGTGGGAGAATAACTGGAGCCTGAGAGTTTGGGACCAGCCTGGGCAACATGGCAAAACCCTGAGTGTACAAAAAGTTTTAAAATTAGCTGGGTGTGGTGGTGCATGCTGGTGGTCCCAGCTACTCGGAAGGCTGGAGTGGGAGGATCATTTGAGCCCAGGAAGTTGAGGCTTCAGTGAGCCATGATCATGCCACTGCATTTCAGCCTGGGCCACAGACCAAGATCCTGTCTCAAAAAAAGAAAAAGGGACATTTCTCAGTGCTTAATGCAGCTGTGGGGCATTCGGCAGCTGACACAGATGAGGCTCTGTAACACAGCACCGCAGGCAAAGGGAGAGGCCGAGGCCTGAATACCCCATCAGACGAGCCTTGGGCAGGCGACTTGGCCTCTCCACCTTCCCCATCTGGTTAGCCTTGGGCAGGCGAGTTGGCCTCTGTGGCTCCCCAATCTGACAAGCCTTGGGCAGGTGGCTTGGCTTGTCTGTGCCTCAGTTTTGTCTGTGAAATGTGGGTTGTCAGAGACTATAGCAGAAGCTGCCGTGTGTCATTTTTCACTGTTCTAGGGCTCAGAACAGGTACATGATAAAAGCCAGCACTGTCGGCCGGATGTGGTGGCTCACACCTGTAATCTCAGCACTATGGGAGGCCGAGGCGGTGGATCACCTGAGGTCGGGAGTTTGAGACCAGCCTGGCCAACGTGGAGAAACCCCATCTCTACTAATAATACAAAAATTACCTGGACGTGGTGGCGGGAGCCTGTAGTCCCAGCTGCTCGGGAGGCTGAGGCAGGAGAATCACTTGAACCCAGGAGGCAGAGGTTGCAGTGAGCCGAGATCACACCACTGCACTCCAGCCTGGGTGACAGAGCGAG